AATATAGACACATGAAACATCGGGTGTACTTTTGACAACCCCTGGAGGCAAAGCCAATTCATAAGCCATCTCTCCCATACGCTTAAGCAGTTCAAACAGCCCAATGTACCTCGGACTGAGCTTACCTCACTTACCAAACCTTTCATGGATGAAACCTTCACCAACTCTTGCTCTCCCTCCATAAATTCCATGTCCCTGACATTCCGGTCTATATACTCCTTCTGCCTGCTCTAAGTTGAATGAATTTTACCTTCTAATGATTCCCTCAAAAGATCAGTACCCCAAGGTCTCACCTCAAATGCATCAAACCAACCAATTGAAGACCTACACATCCTCCCATACAATGCCTCAAGTGGGGTCATCTCAATACTCGAATGATATCTATTGTAGTATGTAAACTCAACTAACAACAAAAACTATTCCTAATAGCCACCCCAAAATTAATCGTACACACGTCTACAACATGTTCTCAAAGACCTTGACACAATCATCATGACAAATCTTTTCTCACATAACCATGATAAAATCCTAAATCATACTGGCTACAATCAGAAGTGAACCTGAATCAACCACCACACACTCATAATACATAAACCATCATATATCTTATCAATATTTCCATTCTCACAACATAAACTTTCCACGAGCTTAAGTTATAAAAATTTGATCTTTAGACATCAGGTATTCATCAAGGGAGAATCAGACTTATTTAACCCAAAGTAGGAAATGATCAGGTGACCACCCATCGAGCGATACACCCGAGTATACAAAACCTCTAACAACATTGTCGAAATGTTAGATTAGTAGTTGTGATTGTAGATAACCCTTAAGAATGGTAGAACTAGACATAATGGTCCCTCAAAGTTCGGGATATATACTTCTCCATGAAGAAGCTAGAAAATGTTGCCCAAATCATAGGTAGCGCCTTTATTGGTCGGCACTTAGCATGAGACCGCCACCACATTTTGGCTTCTCCCTAAATTGGTATGTCACGAACTCAACACCAAACCTCTCCCCACTATATTCATCTTATGAAGTAGCTCATGACAACCAACAAAGAAATCATAAACATCTTCATAGTAATATATATATATATATATATTGAGTTGAAACTGTGTTGGTTACTTCACATGGGTTTTTCGTATTGTTATGAAATTGTTTGACACCAATGGCCTTGTGGAGACAAATATTAGTGGATGGCTAATGGCACATCAATTAGTCGATTGGTGGTGTAATGATTACTAACGAATTGAGGGTTGCAATTGGGTCCACAGTTGTTGCCACTGGTTCATAACCAGTGGCTTCAATTTTAAACATCATTATTTTATTATCATATTATGAAGTAAGTTGTAATATATTGAGATAGGTAATTAAATGTTAGGTGTAATTTATTATACGAATACCATTAAATTTATGATATTAAAGGAATTGAGACTTAACCCTAGGCTTGAAAAACTAGGAACATATGAGACTTGATATATTAGTATTTAGTTGGTATCAAAATTTAGGAATTTGGATATAGTAATATGGGTGTCTACAAACTCGATTGCGAATTTGTATATTTGATAAATTGAAAACGTACTGAGGCATTGAGGAAAGGAAAAGCATTAGGGAATTAGCTTGCTTTATTTCGATTATTCGATGGAGGTAAGTTATGATTTATTATATGTGATAGAGAGACTCTTAATAGTGAATGATAGTCATTGAGTAATTCTGTGAAATTTTCTGTGTACTTAATTGTTGTGGTTTGGATGATTCATGTGTTGTTGTGATTGGTGTGTAATACCAAGACCGTGAAATCCATAATCTTGAATTTGTTCTATCACGGTGATGTCTTGAATAAAGAAGGTGTAATGAAATATTGTTAAGTGGAAAGAATGATGAATTAACTATATTGTTAGATCTGGTGCCACTAGCCGACACGATATTATTGGATCGGATGTCACATTCCGACATGATATTATTGGATCAGGTGTCACATTCTGACACGGTAACATTAAAGGAAGACATATTAAATTAACTTAAGTACTCAATCTCAAAGAATCAATTTCCCAAAAGAGCGTGGTGTGGAGGCATGAGTCCTCATGAGTGTTCTTATATTGTGATTAATTGCGTATTTGCTTCATTATTATTGTCACTGGTTCATGTTGTTTGTGTTTGCCACCTACTAAGTGTTATAGTTCATTTCATATTATTACTTTATTCATATTGATTCCTATTTTGAGAAAGTCGATGCTATCTACTCAGTACATATTGCCTTGTACTGATCCCTACTTGTATTTTGTTCTTCGTTTTCCCTTTGTGGAGTGCAACGAGTGTACTGCCCTCAGCTCTAGCCAGTCTCCAACACATCAAATTCTAGGGTGAGCTACTCCTTCTAGCTCGTGTTGGATTCTCTTGATCATGACATGATGTCCTCAGTTTTCACACAAACTATTTTATTCATTTATTATGGTTTCTTTGATACTTCCACACTTAGTATTTGGAGATTAAATGTCCTTTATATGATGACTTTCAGGTTTTGAGAACGATATGTAATAGACTCTAGAGGATTTTTATTTCTTACTTTAATAAGGTTTGAATTTTTGCATTATTGTCGTAGTGCATAAGTAGGTGAAGCACATAGCTCAAGCAAATAAACCTATGAAGTTGCGTATACATTTATATAGTCTTTAATGGACATGAGAAGATGGGTCTTGGGCTGACCCAAGATAGCCCACCTTTTGGTCCTTATCTTTGGGCCATAAGCCTTTAAGTAGGTGATAGACCTACTTTCTAATCTTTGGCCCTTGATTCTTAGGTAAGTGATGCACCTACTTGACTTCTTTAAATTTTCGCCCTTTGTTCTTAAGGAGGTACCTACTATTTGCTTACTTAGACTAGTAAATCATTAATTTTTCTTAAGCACTTGGGTCGCCCTAGTTAAGCAAGTAGCTCACGCATGTAGGACGTCCAAACAATTAGTTCAACTAAGTAAGATGTCAACTAGCTCAACCAAGTAGCACGTCCAAGCAAGTAGCTCAACCTAGTAGGACGTCTAAACAAGTAGGTGAAACACATAAGTGAAGCACATAACTCAAAGCAAGTAGGTAAAGCATATAGGTAACTCACTTTGTTCCATATTCATTTTCATTTCCAAATCTTATTTCCTTCAACTATTACTTAAACACATTTGTCCACTAGGATACTTAAACTTTATTCTAGAATATAGCCTCATTTCCCAATTTAAATAAGTTCATCGACGACAACTTAGGCATATAGATGTTGCAAATTGGAACTGTGATTTACATGAGACAAAATACATTAGTGGCTATGTGTTCACCCTTGGTAGGCGTGCAAAATCGTAGAAATCAACTAAGCAAGCAATCATTGCTAGATCGACTATGGAATCAAAGTTTGTAGCTTTGCAGTTAGTTGGTTCTGAAGCTGTGGGGCTAAGAAATTTGCTAGTTAATATCCTTTTAATAAAGGACATGTTGTCTCTTGTGTCTATTCATAATAATTGTCCAACCGAAATTGCTACGGTAAAGAATAAATTTTATAATTGTAAGAGTAGACACATGAAATTGAGACATGATGCCGTTAAGCAGCTTGAGAGACGAAATAATTTTAATTGATTATGTGAAGTCAGAAGTGAATTTGACCGATCCTCTGACTAAACTTGTGGGAAGAAAATTAATTCTACAAACCTCAAAAGAGTTCGAGTTAAGGTTGATATGATTGTCAATAAAGATAGCAAACCAACCTATGTGATTGGAGATTCCATGTAGTAGATTCATATGGTAACAACAAGTCAATATTGACTCTACGCACAAAAAGAGAGTGTTGAATTGATACTAATTGTGAGGATGAGTTATAAACTTGTAATGAATTCATAGTCCTTAAGAATGGTGTATTTAAGGCAGTATACAATTGATGAATTCACCTATATGAGAAGTGGACTGGGGCAGCTCTTATGAGATTTTGGCCAAGTCTCTAGAGCTATCATGAATAATTAGGCACCCGCATGGCCTATTGGCACAAAACCATACTGAACAGCAAATTACGGAGATCGAAATGTAACTAATAAATTCTCTAACATACAATAAGAACTATTGGTTCATATAGTTAGCAAGATACCTGGTCAAAACCATAGTTAAACAAATTTGTGAAGCAATGAGTAAACAATGAGACATATAAAATGTGTTAGACTAACATTTATACTCCAACTCAGATGCAAAACCAAGAGTGTAAAAATTGTGACAATCTCTTAGTGCCTCTCGATTTTGTCAGTTCGGTTGGGTAGGGTGTGGAGAGTGTGTGGAATGAGGGGTCTTAACTGCCCCCACACTTCCCATAGCCATTTTATACGGCGAGCTATGTCCTTTGCACATACTAGTTACTACTTATGCTAACCAGAAAACAAACTCAGCTAAACGACCTCAGAGTTGTTTTACATAATTCAACTTTTTGAAATCCAACTCCATGCCTAATTCCTCACCTCACTCTTACACACTTCCCTTGCAGATTGTCATCTGTTGTGCTTTTGCTTCCCTGGTTTTTAAGCAATAAAACTCTTCGAAAATCCACCAAATACCAACTGATTGAAATTGACACCTTTAAGCACATACCAGAGAAGAGAATACTAATGTACATGTTTGACAGATATTTAGCCTAAAACATCTTAGTCTCAAGCTTCCACATCAACCATTCAGCTGAGACTTCTCTATTTCTAGGTTTGGAAAAGTACCAAATCCAACAAATATCAACTTCATAGTGCAAAACCCCAATCAAGGCAGATGAAAAGTTAGAATTTAAATTAAAATCTAAAACTGAAAAAGATGTATTTTTTGACCTATTTATCCATAATCTTCTTTCAACTTTTCACAACCAAAATTTCTACATGGAACTCCCAAATCATGATAAACCCCAAGTTCCTGTTTAGTTGAGATTTCCTATCAAAACTAGTATGAACTCAACAAATTAAACGAACACACACATATATATAGGGGAGAATTTACCAGATGAGAAGGGTTGAGCTTTGCCGTCAATGAAGATTCTACTTGCTCCTTCGTCACCCCCATGATCTCTCTAACCCTTGCACCGCCCTTCTTTGTTACTAGTACTTTGTATTACAGAAGGAATTTGGAGCAAAATAGCCGAAATATTCTCTTTTATACTTTTATTCTCCCGTAAGGATAATAATCTGACATAATATGTAGAATGTAGAGTTAACTTTACTTTAGGTTTGTTTAGGGATATTAGTTTGTGGGGGACTTATTTATCACTATATTTGTATTATAATATTGAGTTGAATTATTTTACATGTATTTATATTTATATATATAATATGACGAAATAACTAATTTTAGAAAATATAACTTAATATATCCCATCATTCATGTCAAACAACCCTTAAGCCTTTAAGATGATTAAAACTTAAAAGGGAGTATTTTTCGTCTCGATAAAAAATTTAAAGGTGAGTATTTTATCTTAATAAAATATTTAATAAATTTTAGAGGTTAATGTGATAAGAAATTGTTGAAATGAAGTGGACTTTCGAATATAAAAATTGTGAAATTTAAAAAATATTTTTATTTTATTTTCAAGTTAGAAATAATATTTGAAAATTAAAAATTGTATCTGAACATGAACATACATAAATTAGAATGGTAGTCTTTAAGAGTGATTTGAAGTGAAAAGTGTGAAAACAATTTTGAATTTCAAATGTTGAAATTCAAAAAAAAATACATCAATTTATGTTCAAACAGTTTTCCATAATGAATAGTGGAAATTACCCACGACAAAACAAATAATTTATAACAATAACAAGAACAATTACATGCTCAATGAAATTTCACAAGTGAAGTCGGGAGAAGGTGTTGAAGGCACGTTATTAGGAGAGAAAGTAGATAGTGCAATGTTGTGTTGCTTAGGGTGACTGATGTTTGCAATGATACTAGTTCTATTATTGTAGTTCTTGTTTTTATTATTGTTTTTAATAATTTATCCTTGTATATTTATTTATTGTGTTTCGATTATCACATTATTTTATTGTTGTTTTGATTCCTCTCTTGTAGACTTTTCCTTGTTTGTCATATTCTCTTTATTGTCTCCTTTATATCTAAATTTATTACACTTGAACCAAGAATCTTTCAAAATCAGCCCATTTTACGAACAATTTTATATGGGCGAAACATAGCAGGGTAAATGGTCCATTAATGAAAAGACTGGGGATCTTTGACGACAAAAAAAGAAAGCATATGTTCCAAGAAATCCAATTCGAATAAGATAAATCATCACAATGAGGAAAGGAGAGAACAATGGAGGAGAAGTTATTTTTTTTTAATTTTCCCTAAATACAATCAGTAAATAATTAACCTATGAATTAGTGACACAGAATGAATAGAGTCTGTCTGCTTAATTCAGTTTCCTGGTTTTTGCAAAACCCATGGAATCTACTTGGCCTTGAAAGAAGGAATAATACAAACATGAAAGAATTTACCAGTGAGTGAGATCACTTAAAAAGCACAGGTCAACTAGGATGGAGAATTTTCTCATTTTAAAGTTGTACACACTACACGGTGATCAACGCGCGTACACACACAAAGAGACAGATTCGAGTTAGAGCATGTTGTCAAGTCAATTGACAGAGGACTGAAAATCAACTTTGCGACCAATCCCTATTTTGATAAGCAGATGCAGTTGTACATAGAAATATGAAGTTCAAGTTGTTTCATCAGGCCCTATTCAATTAGGTAAACATATAAAGCACAGTTTACAAATATCGAAGGCCAGAAAGGACACAAGGATTTCAACGTTGTAATCATGTGTGCTTTGAAAAACAAATGTACTACACAAAATCACAGACCACCCTTCCCCCCACACAATAGTCGAGTCAACCAAATGTAGCGTGCTTGCAGATTTCATACATGACTATGCCTCTCCTTATCAAGTTGTCCGGAGTGGAGGAGACACCAGAATGACACCATCTCCACGAACAAATAGGAATGGGATGGTCCGTCTTGTTGCCTAAAACACAATCAAGAGAATCAATGTCAGCTGATTTTGTAATCATTAGTGTGCAGAAAGAGTAGAAAATCATGCTTCCCCAACTGACATAAACATACACACAACTACTCTTGCAAAAAGCAATCCAAAATAAATACATTCTACTAATGGGGGCAGATCTAGGATTTCAACAAGATGGGTGCACTACGATTAATAGCGAATAAGGATTTAAATTTGATGGCTTCAACCTTTTGATTCTTATTGCCAAAGTGCACAAGTACTTTAGGACCCTAGTTTAAAGAATAGCTGAAATTTATGAGGTGCACACACATAACCATTGGACTCTTTAAGCTTTGGTTACACACAAATGTATTTAAGTAGTATTGAAGAGTTATAATATTGTTATACGTGGTCTAACAAAGGGAGCATGCATGCACGTGAATCGACCCTTAGGATACACCCCTAGTTCTACTACAAGTGGTAATAAGAGTAGAAAGCTTCTCGAAACTTCAGATGGAAAAGGAGCACCTATCTTCTAAGAACTAAAGTTCATTTCATCATCTAAAGCCATAACACTAGCAGAGTTTACAGCAATGGACTTGGCTCCTTATCTTTTGCACACAAACCAATCACCGAGACAACTGTTTCTACTCTTCCTTTTTTCTTTGGGGGGGGGGGGGGTGGTGCACATACATGTACCAAATTTCCTGCACCACATAGCTCTCCTTGTTAACTTCCATCCTAACCATTAATCTGAATCGACCATTCAAAACTTCTGGCTATTTCTACAATAACCCAATTCCTCTCAGTACATCTCACTCTACAGTACAAAAGGAAAACAAAACAGGAGAGAACAATGTCCTCTTTCTCTCAAAAAGTAAATCAGGCTGACTCTTTCGTTCACCTGGCACACCCAGGTCTGTGATGACCTGATATGCTGTGGATGAGATCTGAATCAGGTATTGGCACATACATGTGTTCTCTGGCCTTCTCTAGCATGATCCATTCTTATTTTAGACTATTATCTGAGTTCATGTAACATACGAGGAGAAACATATTGTTTCCATCTAGCCATATAACTCACTAATTTACACTAGCCACATGAAGGAAGCAATGCTTCGTAAAACGTTCTATTTTACTTGAGTCTTGACTAATGGGCTCCGCCCTCCACTTCTAAATTAGGTTTCTACTTCATGAGGTATACAAAGAATAGACCCAGAAAGAGTTTCAAAATTGCCTTTCTATTAAATAGCTAGCTACTACTTAAACAATGTTTTTTAACAATGGTGGTGTCCAAGGCTTATTCGTGCGCACCTTGACTATTCAAAGTACTTGCAATCTCCCACCAGCATAGGTACAGGACAACTCTATCCACCAAGGCTTAGGCAAATGGAAAGAAATCGCCTAATGTCCTAATGCTTTTTCTCTGATGGGATTTGAACCCTAATCTCCAAGGTTTTCACCTACTTCATTGACCTCTAGGCCACCTCCTTGGGTGCTAAACAATGTTCTATCTACGCGGAGACAATAAATTGTTTCACTCTTTCTTTCCTCTTTCTCAAGTACCCCTGCAGCATCACATTAGAACCGCTCAGTAACTCCCAGCTTAGGAACTACTATTACATTTTTCAAGACCCAAACATCTCCTAGTGAAAAAACCTTTTAGCAGCTTAAGTTGGAAAAAGGAATTTCCGTGATACATCTTTCGCCGTAGATGTTTCCAAGTACATAAACTGCCTCATAAATCTTGTGTACACCAATCATTCACTGGTTTCCAAGGGGGGGCGGGGGGGGGCGGTCAGACAAGTTAAAGCAAATGTCCCTTGGTATGAAAGAAATCATTGTGCATCACTACTGAATACTCCCTCCGTCCCTTTTTAGTTGTCCACTTTAGAAATGACACACAGATTAAGGCAACAATGATTAGCACAGTAAAGTTACAATTTTACCTTTATGACAACTTTTCACTTCAAAATTACAACCACTTATTTGAATTCAAGTGAAATAAATTGGAGGGAAACAACATACACTTTTACAATTTTCAAGAAGTGTAAATAAGGGTATAATAGATTGTTTCACTCTTTCTCAAGTACCCCTGCAGCATCACATTAGAACCGTTCAGTAACTCCCAGCTTAGGAACTACAATTACATTTTTCAAGACCCAAACATCACCTAGTGAAAAAACCTTTTAGCAGCTTAAGTTGGAAAAAGGAATTTCCGTGATACATCTTTCGCCGTAGATGATTCCAAGTACATAAACTGCCTAATAAATCTTGTGTACACCAATCATTCACTAATTTCCAAGGGGGGATTAGACAAGTTAAAGCAAATGTCCCTTGGTATGAAAGAAATGGTGGAGCATCACTACTGAATACTATTGAGGGAGAAATGAAACAAAATACAACAGAGTAGGTGGCCGTCAAAGCCAGCTTATTGTACAGAGCACTAGGTATAGTCCACTTTCCAACATATTACAACCCAGGGTCTGATGCTAATTGGAATGATGTATTGCAATGACCAGAGAAGGGGAGAAGAAATATATCTTAATTTCAAACCAAAAAAAAAAAAAAAGAGAAAGAGAAGGTAAGAGAAATAAAGCATACCCGAACTATCTCTTCATATGTTTCATCATCAATCTCAACTGTGGTCACAATTTCTTCAACATCACCTAGAATCATATTAAGATGCTGATCATAAGCCTGAAAAGGAAACCACATGACAGCTTAGTGTCGCCACACAAGATTTTTTTTTCAAAACTAAAATATTATTCATGTATGCTTGTAAATCAAATTGAGTTTTTGGAACTTATGATGCGTGTGAAATTAACAAGAATCAGAAAACAAAAACAAATTATAGTATCCTTAAAGCAGAGCAATAGCAAGATAATCCCCTAAGACCATAACATAGTTCAGTAATTTCCAGCAACATCATGTAATTGCTCCCATTTTTTTAACAAGGAACATCATGTAATTGTTCTTCAGCATTCTTTGGTATTGCAACAACTTGACAATAGTCTTATATTTTTTTCTCAGGACTAAGTGACCAGGCAAAACAGATATTTGAAGAAACAGGCAAACAAGAAACACAATCTCCACTTAACATGCAGGTTTATGGTATTTAATCTAATGCCTTTCCGCCTGCAAGTAG